CGGGCTCAGGCAATCCACTCACCTCAGTCTCCCAAAGTGCGGGATTACAGGCTGAGCCACCGAGCCCGGCTGCCTGCACCTTTTTCTAGGGACAGGTTGGGACTAGATTCCTAGAATTTAGGATTCACCAGTTAGGAGGGTAGACAAGAAATATTGGAGAGAGACTTTAAGAGGAATGAGCCCAGAGGTGTTTGGATGGCGTCTGGGCATGGGTAGGAGTAGAGGAGAAGAGTGTTATATCTAGGCTCCTCAAACCAAGCAGGGTTCCTCAAATCAGTCCAGGAAGACTTCCTGGAGGAGACAAATGGGAGGAGGGGAACTGACAGCAGGAAGGTCTGTCACCACCCTCCACACCTGTCAACCCAGCTGTGCTCAGCAGCGGTTAGAAGTCTCAGCCCTGCCGAGCATGACCTCACCAACAAGTGTTAAAATAGGCCTCTCTGTCCCTGCCAGGGTAGGGGTGTCTAGGGGACTGGGAGATGGAAGGAGGAAGGAAAGGGGCTCTGTGACCCCCAGAAGGGTGAATCAAGGAAGATTTTAGGGAAGGGCCTCTGCATTTCCTTAATACCTATTGTGTGCTGAGCCACAGACTGAGAACTCTTTGGAAGTTTACTTCATGCCTGAATCCTTACAATAGCCCCTTAAGATAGGTATTTCCTGCCCCATTTTATAGAGGAGGAAACTGAGGCTTCTAGGTGTGGAACATTTCCCCAAGCCACATGGTCAGCCTGTAAGGAGCTGGAGATTCAAGCATGGGTCTCTGACCTGTGCCCCAGTACCCGAGCCCTGCCCCTGCCCAGGCCTAACCGGGAGAGAGGCCCTTTCTGGGCCAGTGCAGCTCTGGGCCTAACTGGGGCCGGGTGGCGATGGGGTGCAGAGTGCGAGCAGATGGGTCTGTGGTTTGATTTCCCCAGCAGGTGTTTCTCAAGCTTGGCGGGAACAGGGAGGAGGAGCCGGGGTGGCCTCAGCTGCTTGTCCTTAAGACGCAGGGGAGGGATTAATTGTCTGCCCCTCTCTACAAAGAAAGAGTGGCAAATTCGGTCTATTCAAGAGGCCCCGGGGGCCCTTGAGCTGGAACCCAACATGGGGTGGGGGGTTGTTTGCACTGCTTCCCAAAGTGGGCACCTCCCTGGGGCGTGGCACTGAGCCAGGAAGTCCCCTGGGTCTGGGCGGATGCCCGGCCCCGCCCTGATAAGGGCCAGCTGTGGCGCGGTGATGGGCATGCCGTCTGGCAGGGCCAGCTGCTTCAGCAGGGGAGCCTTTCCCCAGCCTGATGTGGCTTAGGCCCCACCCACTGCTTCCTCCCCGTTTGGTCCTTTGGGTGCGGGGGGAGGGGAAGAGGTGGGGAGCCCCATAGAGGTAGCCTTGGGGCCTGTTGTTAAGGAACCCAGACTGGCTTCAGTAGGGTGCCTGGGCCTCAGAGGATGGGAGCTTTATTTGCTCTTGAGATAGTAGGACTTCCTCCCATGAAAACTACCGCTCAGGTCACCAATATTTCCTTACCAAGTACAGTAGTGTTTTCACCAGGACTGGTGGTAAACCAAGGCACAAAGGTGGCTGCTGGTGGCCCCAGGTCGGGAAAGGCTTAAAGAGGAATGATTCTCAAACTCTGCGTCTCTCTCCCCGCTTTCTCCAAGGCCAAAAGGAAACTGGACTTAGAGGGCGTCGGGAGGCCTACAGTCCCTGAATTCCGAACTCCCAAGGGGAAGGGCATCAGAGTGGATGGCCTCCCTAGCCCCAAAAGTAAGTGGTGCTGATGGGATGTCTGGAGGTGGGGAGGGGCAGAGGGCAGCTAGATCATCATAAATAATATTTGTCACTTTCAGTCTTACAAAAATGTCCTGTGTGTTCTCTCACTTGTCCTTTTGCTGATGAGGCACCTTGAGATTCAGAGAGCTTGAGTGACTGACTGCCCCACAGTCACACAGCTCACAAGTGGAAATCAGGACTAGAGCCCTGACATGTAAGTCTTACACTACTGCCACACCACACACCACTCATGATCTAAATGTGATGACCAACATTTGATTTGGGAGCTTACTAGTTTTTCAAAATTATTTTTAAAGACAGAGTCCCACTATATTGCCCAGGCTGGCCTTGAACTTTTGACTCCAACTGATCCTCCCGCCTCTTGAACAGCTAGGATTATAGGGGTGAGCTAGCACACTCAACGGGATCTTACAATTAAAAAAAAATTTAATATTTAGTTCAATGTGAACTTTGTCTTTGTTTTTGAGTTGGGGTTCCATTCTGTCGCCCAGGCTGGAATGCAGTAGCATGATTATAATCACAGCCTGAACCTTCTGGGCTCAGGCAATCCCTCCACCAGGCTCCTGAGTAGCTGGGATTACAGGCACACACCACCATGCCCAGCTACTCTTTATTTTATTTTATTTTTTTTAGTTGGAGTCTCACTCTGTTGCCCAGGCTGGAGTGCAGTGACATGCTCACGGCCACTCCAGTGTCGACCTGCTGGGTTCAGGCCATCCTTCTGCCTCAGCCTTCCAGGTAGCTGGAACTACAGGTGCGTGCTACCACATCCTGGCTAATTTTTTGATTTGTTGTAGAGATGAGATCTTGCCAAGTTGCCTAGGCAGGTCATGAAGCCGTGGGCTCAGGCAATCCTCTCACCTCAGCCTCTAAAAGTGCTGGGATTACAGGCTTGAGCCATCACACCTGACCCCCCAGCTATTTTTAATGAATTATTATTAATTATTATTATTTTTGTGGTGACAAGGTTTCGCTATATTGCCTAGGCTGCTCTGGAACTCCTGGGTTCAAGCAATTCACCCACCTTGGCCTCCAAATTGCTAGAATTACAGATGTGAGCCACTGCGCCTGGCCAATGTGAACTTTCCTAAAAGAGAGAATCCAGTTTAGAGGAGCAAGGGCTAGCCAGGGTCTCTCTCCCACATGTAGAGAGAACTAAATAAGTGATTGAAGGGAAGTGAAGCTTGGATTCATCCAGCCTTTGCTGCCTCAGAGGTTTTTAAAATTCAGAGGCTCCCAGATTGCCTTCCTAAGCTAAATTGGAGGGGATTTCTGCTTGTTGATATTTTGAGGCAATCTCCTGGTTAGGGCAGGAGTTTAAGCAACAGTGTTTGGAAGGAACACTAGATTTAGGGACTGGAGGCATAATGAAAACAGCATGTGGCTAGGTAAGGAGCATACAGGTCAGGAATTTGGGAGTCCTGGCAGGGCTTTGCCCTGGTCTGACTGACCACTTCTGTGACCCTTAGTTGTCTTATCTTAAAAGGAGACACAGCTAGATCAGGAATGGCAAAAAGGTTTCCTCTCCATTTAATTGGTAGATGCTGCCCAGAGCATTGTACTGAATGAAGGGTTCTTCATTACTCACGGTGGCTAGTAAGAAAAAGTACACTGATCAATTAGTAATGTCTGCCATGGGTGTAAAACCTAACGAAGCTTGTATGCCAAATGCTTACCATCTATGTATTAAAGGATTCTAAAGTCCCCTTCTAGAGGAATCTGAGACTCTTGAAAACTTAGGTTCTAGAGCTAGTTTGACCACTGACTTGCTCTATGCCTTGGAAGTCACTTGATTGCAAAAGTCCCCTTATGGTTTAAGATGCTGCAGCTGATATATGGTCTTTCGACATCAGCTTCATTGAGAAAGGGACCTTTTTCATTAACCTACCCTGTGTGATACCATAGGACGGATTCTTCTCAGATTATCACTGGGCTACACATGGAAAGAAAAAGCAAGCGTGTGTGTAAAAATGTTCTCAAATCTAGGCTTATCATTCTCTGCCAACCCTAATTCCAAATTCCTGACATATAAGTGGTAGGATAGGGTAATAGTTGAGAAAGAAGACTGGAGCCAAACTGCCTGGGTTTGAATCCCAGCTTTGCCACTGTCTTGCTGAGTGAGCTGAGAACGTCACTTAACCTGTCTGTGCCTCAGTATTCCCATCTATAAAATGGGGATAGTTATACACCAACCTCACAGGGTGTTGTAAGGATCAAATGTGTTAGCACGTGGAAAGCACTTAGAACAATAACCTGCCCATGGGAGCAGTTGTTATATTGCGGGTGGTGGTGTGGCTGCTCTAAGCTGTGGTGGAAAGGTGCCCTGATCCTGGAGTGAGGACACTTGGCTTCCAGTCCTGACACTGGCCCCTGGCTGTGAGGCCTTAAACAAGTCACCTTCCCTCTGAGGCGTGTGGTTCCCTGTCTGGACGATGGCGATGACCCCCCTGCCTCACAGTGCTCTGTAAACTGGAAAGTGGATGGTGGATGGCGAAAGGTGGTACTTAAGGGGTGCAGGCCAATGGCGGAGGTTCCCTGGGCTGGCCCTCCCCGATCTGCGACTGGGCCTCTTTCTTCCTCAGCCCCCAAGTCCCCTGGGGAGAAGACTCGGTATGACACGTCGCTGGGACTGCTCACCAAGAAGTTCATTTACCTCCTGAGCGAGTCGGAGGACGGGGTCCTGGACCTGAACTGGGCCGCCGAGGTGCTGGATGTGCAGAAGCGGCGCATCTATGACATCACCAACGTGCTGGAGGGCATCCAGCTCATCCGCAAGAAGGCCAAGAACAACATCCAGTGGGTGTGAGTGCCTGGGCTGCCCGGCGCACCGTCCAAAGGGTGCTTGTGCCAGGGGCAAGAGCCAGTGGCTGTGCATGCCGGGGGCGGGGCTGGGAGGCACATCCAATGGGCACAAGCGCTGGGGGTGGGCCACGAGCCACAGCCAATGGGCCTTTGCTCTGGGGGCGGAGCCAAGGCATTGGCGGTGCCGGTGGAAGCACAGGTGGGCCTGCTGGAGTCATGGCGCCGCGGGTCAGGGAGGAGAACGATTTCTAGGAGGTGGAAAGGCCTAAGACGACCCCAGGTTCTTCCTCTTGAGTCAGGGATCCCAAACTCGCCCTTTTCTTGCTTAGGGAAGTCCCCTGAGAACTGAGAAGGAGTAACCCGGCCCCTTCAGATCTGAGATATGAGCATTCCAGCCTCCTCACTCTGCCCACTTTGGCAAGGTCTTTTTTTTTTTTTTTTTGAGTCAGAGTCTTACTGTCGCCCAGACTGGAGTGCAGTGGCACGCTCATGGCCACCGCAGCCTCAACCTGCTGGGCTCAGATGATCCTTCCGTCTCAGCCTTCCAAGTAGCTGGAACCACAGGCATGCACTACCCCGCCCTTTTTTTTATTTATTGTAGAAACGAGGTCTCACCAAGTTTCCCAGGCTGGTCTCCAACCTGTGGGTTCAGCCAATCCTTGCGCCTCGGCCTCCCAGAGTGCTAGGGTTACAGGCTTGAGCCACCGTGCCCAGGCTGCAAAGTCTTAAAGAGCTGTCCTACAGCCCCTGACTGGCATAAACCCTGAGAGAACCCAGGTGGAGAGTCAGGGTTGAGGTTACTTTAGTTCCCTGCTGTTTGGAAGGAGGCTGAGGCATTGAGATGAACAGAGTTGAGAGCCCCCAAAAGTGGAGTTCAGACCTTGACTTCTGTCTTCTCCCTGGCCCAACCTCCAAGCCTCAAGTTCCAATCCCTGGCAGCTCCCTGGGACCTAGGCACGTCCCCTGATCTGCACAACCCCGGGGACACCCTCACTTGAGTGGCCTCTTTCCGGAGTTTCACCCACACCATCTGTGCAGCTTTGCACAGCAGCACCGGGGCTGGGGCCGCTGGAGGTGGACTAGGACTGACACTGGGGGGCTGCTCTGTTCCCAGAGGCAGGGGAATGTTTGAAGATCCCAGTCGACCCGGGAAGCAGCAACAGCTGGGGCAGGAGCTGAAGGAGCTGATGAACACAGAGCAGACCCTGGACCAGCTCATCCAGAGCTGCTCGCTGAGCTTCAAGCACCTGACTGAGGACAAGGCCAACAAGAGATATCCTCGTGGTGGAGGGAAGGGTCAGGGGACTGGGGCCTGTGGCATGTTTATATCCGTCCTGAGTCGATTCTGTACTTCCTACAGGGACTACCACTTTCTCAACCACTTGTTACCGATAAACAAGCAATTTCATATGATCCAACCTCATAATTGAAATGGTTTGGGGCTGTCCTACTCAGACTAGTTTCTGGTTTATTGATAGGGCCTAGAATGGCTATTGATAAGGCCTAGAATGGCTAGTGATGAAACCCCTTAAGCGTCTGGCACCTATATTGCTTCCTTCCTCTGTGTTTTGGTTTTTTTTTTTTTGAGTTGGAGTCTCACTCTATTGCCCAGACCGGAGTGCAGTGGCACGCTCTTGGCCACCACAGCCTCAACCTGCTGGGCTCAGGCGATCCTTCCGCCTCAGCCTTCCAAGTAGCTGGAACTACAGGCACACGCTATCACGCCCGGCTAATTTTTTTGGTTTATTGTAGAGATGAGGTCTTGCCAAGTTGCCCAGGCGGGTCTTGAACCTGCGGGCTTAGGCAATTCACTCACCTCAGCCTCCTAAAGTGTGGGATTACAGGCTGAGCCACCAAGTCCGGCTCCTCTGTGGTTTTTTTCTCTTTTTTTTCTGAGTTGGGGTTTCACTCTCACCCAGGCTGGAGTGCAGTGGTGCCATCATGGCTCACTGCAGCCTTGAGCTCTTGGGCTTAAACAATCCTTCCGCCTCAGCCTCCTGAGTAGCTGGGACTATAGGTGTGCGCCACCATGCCTGGCTAATTTTTTTTTTTCATTTGTATAGAGACAACGTCTTGTTATGTTGTCCAGACTGATCTCAAACTCCTAGGCTCAAGCAGTCCTCCCACCTTGGCCTCCCAAAGTGCTGGGATTATAGGCATGAGCCACTATACCTGGCTGCTTTTCCTCTTTTTTTTTTGAGTTGGAGTCTCACTCTGTCACCCAGGCTGGAGGGCAGTGGCATGCTCCTGGCCACCGCAGCCTCAACCTGCTGGGCTCCGGCGATCCTTCCGCCTCAGCCTTCCGAGTAGCTGGAGCTACAGGCACGTGCTACCATGCCCGGCTAATTTTTTGATTTATTGTAGAGATGAGGTCTCACCAAGTTGCCCAGGCGGGTCTCGAACCCGTGGGCTCAGGCAATTCACTCACCTCAGCCTCCCAAAGGCGCGGGATTACAGGCTGAGCCACCGAGCCCGGCTTGCTTTTCCTCTTTAGTCTGTTAAAGTTTCTTTCACACTATTAAAAACGAACCAGGTACATTTCTTTAAATCTGGAAAATGGAGAAAAAGATAAATAATGAGCTGCCATCTTAACATAGCATTGTTCCTTTTTTTTTTTTTTTTTTTTGAGTTGGAGTCTTACTCTGTTGCCCAGGCTGGAGTGCAGTGGCACACACTCACAGCCACCCCAGCGTCGACCTGCTGGGCTCTGTTGATCCTTCTGCCTCAGGCTTCCAAGTAGCCGGAACTACAGGCGCATGCTACCACACCCAGCTAATTTTTTATTTATTGTAGATATGAGGACTCGCCAAGTTGCCCAGGCTGGTCTCGAACCTGCAGGCTTAGGCAATCCACTTACCTCGGCCTCCCAAAGTACTGGGATTACAGGCTCAGCCCCTGAGCCCAGCCAGCCATTGTTCCTTACCTGTGCACAGGGTATGTGCTACTTATAACTATGTACCTGCTGAACATAACATTTTTTATGTTTCCACTTTTCTCTACTTAATATATCACCACAGACTTTTTTCTTTTGAGTTGGAATCTCGGTCTGTCACCCAGGCTGGAATGCAGTGGCACGCTTATAGCCACCCTGGGCTCAGGTGATCCTTCCCCTTCAGTCTTCCAAGTAGCTGGAACTACAAGCGCACGCTACCATGCCCTGCTAATTTTTGGATTTGTTGTAGAGGCGAAGTCTCGCTAAGTTGCCCAGGCTGGTCTCCAACACCTGGACTCAAGCAATCTGCTCGCCTCTGCCTCCCAAAGTGCTGGGATTATAGGTGTGAGCCACCATGCCTGGGTACCACAGACATTTTTCTATGTTATATAACCTTCCTATGTGGCTGACCCACATGAAATTGCTGATATTCAACTACTTTTTACCTATAAACAAACAGCTTTGTATGGTTCAAACTCATATTTAAAATGGTTTGAGGCTGTCCTACTCAGACTACACTCTGGTTTGTTGATAAGGCCTATATAGCTAGCTAAATTGAGTCTAGATTTCTGCTTTTATAAGGATAGTAGCAATGAATATCTTTGTATGGAGAACATTTTCCCATATTTTCACTTATTTCTCTCGGTTGGATTTCTAGGATTGAAATGATGAGGTCAAAGAGCATGGACTTTGCTAGGGTTCTTGTGTGTATTTTTCCAAATGGTTTCATGTCTAATTGGTTTTTGGATCTGACCTTGTAGTTTTGGAAGGATGCTAGGCACTGTGAGAAATGTAAAAAAATAAAATGCTTCCCTGCCTTCTCAGAGCTAATGATCTGAGATGAAGCCTTTACATAAAAAGTTGATATAAGGTAGCATTTTAAAATAATTTATACCCCTACTGGCTTTCTAAAGGGATCCAAGGTAGCTTGTGAGATTAAAAGAACAAGTTATAGATTTTAGTTGTTTCTTTTCTTTTGACAAATTGATAGAAACAGTTGATCTCAGACTCCTGGCCTCAAGCAGTCCATCCTCCTCAGCCTCCCAAAGCGCTGGGATTACAGGCACGAGCCACTGTACCTGGTTGATTTTCATTATTTCTCAGCTCTACAAGGAGTGGGAAAGTGATGTTCAGAGGCCTAGGAGAGGTTGTAACAGCCCTGCTTTGCAGGCTGGTGGTTTGAAGTTTGACCAGTCACTTTTCTTGACTCTTCTGCCCCTACACTGGCCTATGTGACTTACCAGGATATCCGTGCTGTTGGCAACTTTAAGGAACAGACGGTGATCGCTGTCAAGGCCCCTCCGCAGACGAGACTGGAAGTGCCTGACAGGACTGAGGTGAGGGGAAGCATTTGGTGGGGAGCAGGGTTGGGGGGCCCTGGCGGCTCTGTAGACTCTGGTCTCGGCACTGTCCAGCCCCGAGCTTCTCAGGTCTGTTCTGGTGTTTGTGGCTATAATGGTGACCTTCAGGCTTGGGCAGAAGTGGCAGAAGCTGGAAAAAGCCACAGAGACTGAGTCCTGGCCTGAGAAAATCTCTGTTCCTGGCTTCTTTCTGCATCCCACCAACCCTGGGTTCCTGCGTGATGCAGCCTATACGTGTCCATACACAACGATGTTAGCACTCATGAAAATCCTTTCATGCTGATCAAGCTCTCCCAGGTTAAAGTCCAAAATTCTTAGCACTTCCCATGAGGCCTTAGGTGCTGTGACCCCAGCTGACCTCCATCTTTTCTCCCATACTGTCCCATCTGTCTTTGCTTTGGTCACACTGACCTGTCCGCAGTTTCCCCAGCACACTAAACTCATTCCTTGGGAAAGACCTTCACACCTGCTGTTCTCCCAGCTGAAATGCTCTTCCCTTTCTCTCCCTGGTTTACTGCTATTCATCCTGTAGGTCTCAACTCAAATGTCACTTCCTCAAGGAAGCCTTCCCTGATTACCCCCAGACTTTATAACCACCTGTGCTTTTCCATCACACTTAATCTCTATTCACTGGGATATATTTGGCATAATGACACAGTTACATTCTGTTTTGTCTGTTAGATTCATCTGTCACCCAGGCTGGAGTGCGGTGGCATGATCACAGCTCACTGCAGCCTCGACCTCCTGGGCTCCAGTGATTCTCCCACCTCAGCCTCCCAAAGTGCTAGGATTACTGGCACGAGGCACTGGGCCCAGCCAGCGATAGCTTTTTTTTTTTGAGTTGGAGTCTCACTCTGCCACCCAGACTGGAGTGCAGTGGCTGCTCCCGGCCACCGCAGCCTTGACCTGCTGGGCTCCGGCGATCCTTCCGCCTCAGCCTTCCAAGTAGCTGGAACTACAGGTGTACGCTACCACGCCCAGCTAATTTTTTGATTTATTGTAGAGATGAGTTCTCGCCAAGTTGCCCAGGCGGGTCTCGAACCCGCGGGCTCAGGCAATTCACTCACCTTGGCCTCCCAAGGCGCGGGATTACAGGCTGAGCCACCAAGCCCGGCCAAGCGATAGCTTTTATGACACCAGTTCAATAAACCCAGTGGGAAGGGAGCTTCCATTTCCCACAAGTCCAGCAAATGTACCCGAGAGTGGAGAGGAGTGATTTCCCAAAGGAAAATCAAGATGTTCTTCCTGAAAGAAGGGGCCTTGGAGCCCAGATGGCAGAAACAGTGGATATCCACCCTAGGCCGATGGAGCAGGCCTCAGTACCCAGCTTAGGAGCTAAACTTGCTCATACGGACGGTGGCAACCACATATGTCCATCTGTACACATTGACCCACGGGTATGTGTTCAGATGCCCAGACCCATGACCTGGCTTCTCTTCCTCCTCCAGGAGAACCTGCAAATATATCTCAAGAGCACCCAAGGGCCCATTGAGGTCTACCTGTGCCCAGAGGAGGTGCAGGAGCCAGACAGTCCTTCCGAGGAGCCCTTCCCCTCCACCGCCATTCTCAGTCCCAGCCCTGACTCCACCCAGCCCAGCAGCAACACTGACCCTGGGATCATGGAACCCACAGCATCCTCAGGTAGAGTCCTCTGTCCAGAGGGACAAGAGGTGGGGAGAGCGACTGGCTTTGGTTTTCTCTTCCACATCAGTGTTTGTTGGAGACCTCCTGTCTACCTAGCAGCTGGGGGTTCAGTTTTCCCCTACACATGTACCTTGTACTTGATGCTTTATTAAGCCTCCCTAGGGAGGCTAATGCATAGGAGGGCACTTACCAGCTGTGTGATCTTGGACAAGTCACTTAACCTCTCTTTGCCTCCATTTTCTCGTCTGTGAGTTGGGCATAGAAGCTCATGGGGTCATAGGTTGTTGTAAGGATTGGGATGTTTTTGTTTTTTTTTTGAGTTGGAGTCTCACTTTGTCACCCAGGGTGGAGTGCAATGGCATGCTTACAACCACCGCAGCCTCGACCTGCTGGGCTCAAGTGATCTTTCTGCCTCAGCCTTCCAAGTAACTGGAACTACAGGCATGCACCACCATACCCAGCTAATGTTTTGATTTTATTGTAGAGATGAGGCCTGGCCAAGTTGTCCAAACTGGTCTCAAATCCCTGAGCTCAGGCAGTCCTCTCACCTCTGCCTCACAAAATGCTGGTATTATAGGAGTGAGCCACTATACCCTGCAGATTAATGAATTAATATGGGTAATGCCCTAGAGCAGTGTTTGGCACTGTTAGCTACTATTGGCATCACTGCCATGACCACTGGTACTGCTACTTCTATGACACTAATGGCAAAACTCCTGGCACTCAGTAAGCCCACAGTAAGTGAAAACTACATGGTTTTTGAGGCGTGCTCAAGACTTTCTCAGGAGATAATAACAGGTTTTTTTGAACTGTGACTGTGTGCCAGGTACATCCAATATCACATTACTTCTCATAGCAATTCTTGAGGTAGATTTTATTGTTCCCAATTTAGAGATAAATAAACTGAGGCAGCAAGGTGATGTAATTTACCCAAGGTCTCCCAGCTGGGAGGTAACAGAGCTATGCTTGGAACTTTGGTCCACACACTACTAACCCAGTGCTCCCTCCATAGGGCACAAAATAAAGGAAGAGGCTCCTGGTTCAAGGGCTTACCCCTGGCTGGGTGGTGGATGATACAGCTATAAGTGGCTACACCTGATGGGAGGTTGTGTGGGGAAGTTGCCTGGGAGCAAAGAGGCAGAAGTCCCTGAGAGCTTCCCAAGGAGGGTGGGAGTAGAAATGGAGGATCCTCCCAGTGGTTTCTGCCCCTACTAGGATCACACCTCAGGTTAGGCCGCAGGATTCTTCAAGGCTGTGCAGGCCAGTGTTACACTTTTTGGGTTTTTTTGCAGCAGTTTGTTGTGTTTAAATACACAGCTAGAACTGGCCTGGTGGGAGAGGCTTGGCAGGGATGCAGCAGAACACAGGGTGTATTTCCATTTCTGTAACTCAGAGGTTGGCAAACTATTGTCTACAGGCCAAACCTGGCCTGTTTTTATATGACCCATGAACTAAGGATGGTTTTTACATTTTTAAAGAGTTGTGAGGGGAAAGAAAAAGATTACTTTGTGAGAGAGACCACAAGTGTCCCACAAAGCCTAAAATACTCTCTGGCCCTTTACATGAGAGCTGTCCCCTCATCTCATTCAAAACTTCTTTTCGCACATGAATAAACTGAGGCCCAGAGAAGGCAAGAGGCATCCCTAAGGTCACACAGCAAGTTGATGGCAGAGCTGGGCCAAGAGCCCAGGCTCCCAACTCTTCTCTAGTGATTTCTCCTTGTGTCTGTCTGTCGGCCTCATCTAGGGACCAGGACTTCACCATGTGCCAGCCATCTGTCCCTCTGGGCACCTCCCCGGTACCTATCTCCTATTCCAGACTTGTGCCCCACCCTTTTGTCCCTCCTCCTCTTCCTCTGCCTCCTCACTCAACTGTCAATATGTGCACAGTGCTCCAAAGTTAGAAGCACCTCACTCCATTTGCCCTCTGAGACCCCACAGCATAAGCAAGAGCAACGTTTTTACCTCAGTTTTATCCATCAAGAGTCTGAGGCCCAGAGAGGAGTAGCGGCTTACAGAGCACTACTGGTGGGGCCAGCCCGGAAGCCAGCTCTTGTATCACAGCTGCTCCTTCCATCCTTGCCACACATGGCCTCGGACTGGTGCTGTCGTCCCTGCTGAAAGGAGTAGGAGGGAGTTTCCCTGAAGGTAAACACACACACACACACACACACACACACACACACGGCCTGAAGTAAGTTGTTCTGGGATCTGAGCACCAGAAGCCACATCCAGAGAAGAAGCCACTGCAGTCTTGGGACCTGGGTCCTGGCCCTGGTTCTGTCATCACCAGGGGAATTGCTAGCCTTTTGCGGCCTCAGCTTTCCTCATGTGTAATGGAAGGAGTTTGAGCAAGAATCACCTCTAACATCCCTCTGGGTTCTGGCATCCTAAGGCAAATCTAAATGTAGCTAATGGCACAGGATTTGCAGTGGGGAGACTTAGATTCAAGCCTGGACCTCACCTCTTAGTGACTTGGTGACTGTGGGTGAGTCCCTTTAACCTCTCTGAGCCTCAGTTCTCACATCTCTAAGATAGGGACACTTAAAATGTCCTTGTAAATATTGAGTGGGTTACAGGAAATGGTATAGCAAGAATGTGATTTTTGAAAAGTTTATGTGAATGGAACACCTACTATACTGGGCTTGGGGTGATTTTAGAGATAGAAAACCAGTAAGAACCATTCAGACTCCAGTGGAAAGGCAGAAATTTCACAAGGAGTTCTATCCTGGACGTGACCAGCAGCAGGAGAACGAGAGCAAAGTCCAGCCCCAGTAGAGATTCTCACGTGTTTGATCAGTTACTTGTTCCAGCAACTCAGTGAGGCGGGTTCTTATTTTTTCTCATGAGAAAATTGAGGCCCCAGGTCCTGCAGCTGGTGAGATGGGGCCAGGGTCCCAGCCTGTGTCCTCCTCGCTTCCCAACCAGGTCTCTTGATGTAACACCATGTGCTAAGCATTTTTTTTTTTTTTTTTTTGAGTTGGAGTCTCACTCTGTCGCCCAGGCTGGAGTGCCGTGGCACGCTCCCGGCCACTGCAACCTCTACCCACTGGGCTCAGGCGATCCTTCCACTTCAGCCTTCTAAGTAGCTGGAAGCATAGGCACGTGCCACCACACCCAGCTAATTTTTTATTTATTGTGGAGATGAGGTCTCACCAAGTTGCCTAGGCTGGTCTCGAACCCCTGGACTCTAGCAGTCCTCTCACCTTGGCCTCCCAAAGTGCTGGGGTTATAGACTTGAGCTACGGCGCCCAGCCAACAGATTTTTTTCCCATTTAAACGTGTTTAATGGACTTGGGGCCCCAGTTTTCTTATCTGTCAGTAGGGGTCACAGCATTGCCTCCCTCGGGGCCGCTTGAGTGTCCAAGGATGTTGAACATGCCTCGCCTTGGTAGTGGAGCACCCCTCCTCCCAGACCTTGGAAAACGGGAGCCATTTTCATTGTTAACAAAGGCAGCATGCAGACTCAACGTGGGATTTCTGCAGACCGGGATGTCTTTACATGCACTTATGTAACCCTCTCAGCAGTCCTTTGAGTTAGGATTATCACCTCTCTTATTTATTTATTGAGTCGGGAGTCTCACTCTGTTACCCAGACTAGAGTGCAGTTTCATGCTCATGGCTACTGCATCCTCGACCTCCTGGGCTCCAGCAATCCTTCCACCTCAGCCTTCCAAGTAGCTGGAAATACAGGTGTGCACCACCACACCCAGCTAATTTTTCTGATGTAGAGATGAGGTCTTGCCATGTCGCCCAGGCTGGTCTTGAACTCCTGGGCTCAGATCGTTCTCTCACCTCTGCCTCCCAAAGTGCTGGGATTACAAGTATGAGCCATCGCGCCCGGGAATCCCCTTGTAAAGGTGAGAAAATGGAGGCTCGTAGACACAGAGTCACTTGCCCACTGTTCCACAGCCAGTCTGACCAGGAAGTCATGCAGCCCATGGTTGATCAGGCGGTCTGGCACACCAGCACAGCTGTGTTTTCAAAACAATGCTGGGTTGGGGTCTAGGGAATGACTCAAAGGGCAGGATTCTGAGCATCGGGATGTGTTTTGCAGGTGATTTTCAGCGTCCTAGTTCACATCCTTGGGTAGGAAATCACTGACTTGCCTCTAAGAGGGAATGAGCTTGGAGTGATGGAGGCTGACCGATGGCCTGTGTGGTCAGAAAGGTTGAGGGTAAGCTGCAGGAGGAAGGTGGGAGCAATGGCAGGAAGACAGGCAGGGGCCTGACAACACAGGACTGTCTCAATCCTAGACAGAACATGGATTTTATTCCAAGCCAATAAGCTTACAATGAGCTACTAAGGCTTTCAAATTAAAGCACAGACTGCAAGGGGCAAGAGTCAAAGCAAGGTGATGGGTGAGGCATGACCTGGGTGACAGGACAGGGCTAGGGCCAGGGTCACAGCAATAGAACCCAAGAAAAATGGGCAACCTGGAGAATTCATTTCATTGCGGAGATGGCCATACTTGCTCCCGGTCCGGTTACTGGACTCGATGCAGGGGAAATGGCAGGATTGTGAATGAGTTTTGGGCCTTTGGGCTTGGACACCGGATGGCTGGCGGCTCATTAACTGCAGTGGAGGAACACTAGTGGACACATGGGTTAAGGGGAGAACCAGGAGTTTGATTTTGATGTGCTAAGTTCTGCTGTCCGTGAGCTGTCCACATAGAGATGTTACAGGACAGTTGTGTTAGACTCAGGGCTCGGGGTGAGGGCCACGCCAGAGGTGTCCACTTGGAAGCAGCAGGTCTAGAGAGGGAGTTAAAGCCACAGGGCTGGCTGAGATCGCCTGGGAAGGAGGGCAGCTAGAGGAGAGGAGAGTCTGAGGGGGAGCCCAGGGGCCTTCAGAGTTTAGAAGTTGGGAAGAGGAGTGTCTAGCAAAGGAGGGCAAAGAGAAGTAGCCAAAGAGATAGGTAAAAACCCAGGAAAGTTTCTGCATCTGAAGCCAAGTGGAGATTTTCCAGAAGGGCTTGAAAACTGTGTCATGTGCTGCCGAAAGATCCAATGACATGAGCCCAGAGAAGTGACCAGTGGATTTAGCAACACAGAGGTCACTGGCTCAGTGGCATGGTCGGGGACAGGTGCCCTCATCAGACTGGAGTGGGTTGAAGAGTGGATAGTAGTGAGGAAGTAGAGAAACAAGCTTAGGCAACTCTGGAGAAAGCTCGCTACATCCTGAATTGTACCCCACAGCTTTAAAATAAAATAAAATAAAAACAGACTGGGCGCGGTGGCTCAAGTCTGTAATCCCAGCACTTTGGGAGGCCGAAGTGAGAGGACTGCCTGAAATCAGGGGTTCGAGACCAGTCTGGGAAACTTGGTGAGACATCATCTCTACAATATATCAAAAAATTAGCCAGGCTTGGTAGTGCATGCCTGTAGTTCTGACTACTTGGAAGGCTAAGGAGGAAGGATCGCCTGAACCCAGCAGTTCGATGCTGGGGCGGCCGTGAGCGTGCCATGGAACTCCAGCCTGGGTGACAGAGTGAGACTCTGACTCAAAAAAATAAAATTAAGAATTAAATAAAAAAAAGAAAGTAAACTACAAAAGGAACAGTAAAAGGGGCCAGTATTTGGAAAGGGTCATGAGGTCAGGTATTCTTTTTTAAAAGTGTAGTAAAAAAAAAAAATACACAAAATGAAAATGTTCTATCTGAACTATTTTTGAGTGTACAGTTCAGTGTTATCAAATACACTCATAATGTGCAGCCATCACCACCATCCATCCCCATGACTCATATTGTAAAACTGAAACTCTGCATGAAACAATGACTTCTCATTCTGACTCCCCTGGGCCTTGACAGCCACCACTCTACTTTCTATCTCTGTTCTAGATATCTCATATAAATGGACTCGCACAGTATTCATCTTTTTGTGACTGGCTTATTTCACCTAGCTTAATGTCCTCAAGGTTTGTCTATGTTGCCGCATATATCAGAATTTACTTCCTTTTTAAGATTGAATAATATTCCGTTGGGTGGATATACCACAGTTTTCTTATCCACTCATCTATCAGTGAACACTTGAATTGCTTCTTTGTTTTAGTTTTTTTTTTTTTTTTTTTGAGTCGGAGTCTCACTCGTCACCCAGGCTGGAGTGCAGTGGCATGCTCACAGCCACTGCAGCCTCAACCTGCTGGGCTCAGGGGATCCTTCTGCCTCAGCCTTCCAAGTAGCTGGAACTACAGGCACACGCTACCACGCCTGGCTAATTGTTTAAAATTTATTGTAGAGATGAGGTCTCACCAAGTTGCCCAGGCTGGTCTCGAAGCCCTAGGCTAAGGTAATCCTCTCGCCTCGACCTCCCAAAGTGCTGGAATTACAGGCTTGAGCCACCATGCCCAGCCTTCTGATGCAAAATATTTTTTAACTTCCATAAAGTCCAATTTGTTGATTTCTTTCTTTTGTTGCTTATGCCTTTGGTGTCATATCCAAGAAATCATTGCCAAATCCAATGTCATGGAGCTTTTACTCTCTGTTTTCTCCCAAGAGATTTATAGTTTAATGTCTTACATTTAGGTCTTTAACCCATTTTGAATTAATGTTTGTATGCAGTATTAGATAAGGGTCCACGTTCATTCTTCTGCATATGGACATCCAGTTTTCCCAGCACCATTTGTTGAAAGGCCTGTCCTGAAGGGGAGGATACTTTTTATTTATTTTTATTTTTATTTTTTGAGTTGGAGTCTCACTCCGTCGCCCAGACTGG